TAACGCGCAGCAAAGCTTAATTAGACGTGCGCAATTGTGCATCCAATGCGATGGTGGACATTTTGAACATCTTTTGTAATAGGTACGTAACATTAATTTTTTCATTAAACTTTAATACGAGTTAGCGCATTTTTTGCAGTTGATGTGTGAACTCAATTCGCGGACACTTATAGCCAGGTGTATTGTTTACGGTTTGCAAGACCGCTTCTTCATTCGATACTGTACGAGCGTGACGTTCAACGGCAACATTGATTCGTCTGTTGGGCACTACAATCCTGTTCCTCGCATCCGATGCAGCAGTCGCAAAATTATGTTGTAACTAATCATTTTACGTTCCGGATAACGATAATGTTATATCTTGTTTATTTCATTGTTATTATTTTTCATTGTTGTTATTTCATTATTTTTATTGTTGATATGTGTTAATAAATGAACAAAAAACACTTTTATTTTAAAAAAATTAGTTTTTTTCTTACCGACATTTCTTACCGACATTTCTTACCGACATTTCATGTAGCAGATCATACTTCGTTCCGATAGTATTGATTTTCTCTCATGACATAAGAAACGTCATTTGTCAATGGCACGACTGCTTTGACAGTTCGACGCGCATCGCGTTTTAATACAATTTAGAAATTATTATCGTTAGTAAATTCGTCAGTATTGCGAACAATGTGAATAAAGTGAATAAAGTAAATAAGAACTGAGTGAAGTGAATAAAGTGTTGTGCAAGAGTCCTTTCGAGATACGATGTCCCTGAGCGCGCGAAATTTTGACAAGCTGATTGATAAGTTTTAAACCTTTCCCATTCAAATACTATAGTAGCCTCGACATTTTGGCATTAAGATTTTCGTCTCCAAATGACCTCAGGAATCTGCCATTAACGGGTGATACGGTAAGTCTGGGACACCCTGTATATATAAACTTTACTGTTCGTAATATCAATTTATAACACCAGAAGAGCATTAAAATTGCGAAACTTTAATTCGTTATATCTCCTAAACTAATACTGTCATCCACTTGATTTTTGCGAGGAATTACTCAGAACAACCCTCCCCTACAACATATCTAAATGGTGACAAAATCGGTGAAGTATGACCTAAAATGCATTTTTACCAAAAGATTTTATTTAATTCAATATATGCCAAATATATTTAATATATTCAATATAATATATTTGAAATTATAGTATTTATATTTAACAAATTTTTTCTAGAAATAATATGTAATATTAATATATATAATAAGTGTAAAATATAATATATGTGTGTGTGTGTGTGTGTGTGTGTGCCTAATTATAGTATTTAAAAAACTTACTTGATTGTACAGAAATATAGCTTTGTTGTAATTTCCATTTTTTACATGAACAATTGCTTCATTTACCAAAATTGCATTTTGTACAATAAGAGAAGCTTGCCTTACTCGTACTGCTGATTTTTTTTTTGAATGATATACCATATCGTCTCAATACCTACAACATCTGTTTGAATGTCAAAACTCAAACAAGTTATTTTACCAATAAATTAAAGTAATAAGTTAAAGTAGTTCGATCATTAGGCAATTTCCAATATAAGGCTTTGCATTTAAAATATGTACTATAATGAAAAAAAGACATTTAAATTCTAAATATTAATATTATTTGACCTATAGTGTATGAGATATTCGACAATAAAGTTGAAGTTTTTATTGAGTCTGTAAAAAAGTTTGGTTCAATCTTTCAATAAAATTCAATTATTTTAAAACATATGTAATGGAAAGGCACATATGATAACAATTAACAAATATAATAGAAGAGCATTAAGAGCCGTCGCAGGATGTTAGTGCTCAATTTTTAATTTTTCTTAAAGAAATTAATAAATTAGTCTACATGAGACAGCTAGATTGTACACCGATCTCACAATCAGATCGAGATACTTAAAGTGTACGAAAATTTAAGTACATTATTCTCATATATGGAGAATCATAATGTATGTACATATAGGAATTATTGGAAAGAAAACAAGAGAGAGAAAAAATATCAGGGAGTGGTTAAGCCGGGAATCTAACTATTTCATGTTGAACAGATGGAAGTCGCACGGGGTTAAATCTGACGAGTATGATAGGTGGGGAAGCAATTCAAACTTCAATTTGTGTATTTTGGCCATCGCAACGACTGATATGTGAGCTGATTTTCAATTTTTTCATTGTTTTACAATTGCTTGAGGTGTTCACTTTAGACAGTCATACAAATGCTAAATAACGTATTGACTTCAAACTTTAAACTTAAACCAATAAAATGAGAGCGTAAAACCATTAAAATATTGAACTTATTTGCGCTATTTCTATGTAAGGTCCGGAACTTTTCAAACAGCCCTCGTATTAAAAATTCGGTCAAATCCCAGGGGTCAAAAGTTGGATGTCCTCTTGTCAGACATAAAAATTAATCGTAGTCAAGTTAATTACTTTTTACATTATTATCAATTATTATATGTATAATTAGAAATAATCAATGATTATACCGAATAAATAAAATTAATAATACTTAAAATACATTAAAATAATATCTTATTAGAAGATAAAAGTATAAACACTCTTTTGATTATTACGATATTGATCGATCTACCTTAATTAAAGGTTTGAGAAGCACCATATAATGATTTAAATAAAACATTATAAGTAAAAATAATAAATAATACCACTTTGCATTTCATTTGTTATTTAAAAATCAAGAGCAGTTTTTTGAAATCTCTTTATGAAAATTAAATCCGAATCTTGCTACAAAAAGTGCACAAACATTTTCAAAGAATCAAAGAAAAATTCGCTAAAAATCGTAATTTTTAGTAACATTTATGTTGTTATTATGAAAATGACATTTTTCTCGAAATTTTATTTATACCATCTTATTATATTAATTTTTTTTATTACGAGTTTTATTTTGTTTCCTTTACAATTTTTCTAAAATAATTTTTGTTTAATTCCAAAAAACATTCTCTGGTACATGCTTTTGTATGGATAAATTTTTTGAGTAATTATGTATAACAGGGAATGCAATTTCCATGGCCTTGACCTTGATATATATTTCCGAGTTCATAATGCTGAGTAATCATCAAAAAATTTTGGCCGGCATTCGTTGCTTATTAAAAAATTAACAAAATAATATCAAATAATGTTAATAAGTTATCAAAATAGAATGTAATTTTCTGATACTATGTATGTTAATAAAACGTACTCTTATAAGTAAACTTTGGGGAACGTCAGACGCCGATTTTTCTTAAATTTTTTACAGTTGTGTTTCATGTCGAAGTATGAAAAAATCTGTCATTGTTTTTAGTTTAAATTGAGTTTTTCATTTTTTTTCAAAATTTTTAAAATTTTACGCAAATATACGACTTTACACATGTTTAAAACAATATTTCTTAAGAATGAATCTACCCAATTTTTTGAAACTCAGCACACATATAGAACACCAAAATAATAATTTATCTGTTTTCTTTCTATCGGGTATTTTTAAGGGGAGTAAGGGAATCGTTCCGATTGCGTACACTGCCGATCGGACACGAAGATATTTTCTGATCGGACACAGTCCCGATCGGACACAGGCCCAATCGGACACTATAGAAAACGGACACACGGTGGTTGAAATCGGACACATGCTCTGTGACAATTTTTCTAATCTTAAAAACGTTACTTCTAATGACTTGATTCTACGTGGATTTGCAACTTTTCGTGCAAAGCAAGGTCCAACTCACATCATCCGGTGCTTCAGATGCGAAACGAAGTTTATAATTATACGATTCCACGTGGGTTTGCATTTATGTCCGATTGCATTGGACCCCGCAAGCATTATTATTTCCCGTGTAAACTAGTGAAGGCAGCAGAACTGACAATGGTTGTTTTCCAGCAAAGAACACAAGTTGACACAAATCGACACAAGTATCACTCTGTCTTTGTTCGATATTCAATGAACAACAGAGAGAATAATACTTTTGTGTCGCTTGTGTCTCTTGGTGGAAAACTACCAATAAGTCTATTTTTTATAACTGAACTGGCTGCACTAGTTCAGAGTTTATCTTTTTCCTTCCAATGTGGAGGGAAAAAGATAAACTCTAAACTGGTGCAGCCAGTTCAGCTATAAAGAATAGACCTAATGAGAGTGAGAATAAAGAGGCTTTTTTATTTCACTCTTGTTGCGCGCGCAATGCGTAGACCATGGAGGACCTGGAGAGAGCATTAGGTGATGGAGACAATGCTTGGTAGTGTAACGGATGTGACGAAATACAGGCCACTTTTCGCACAGATTTAACGCATAATGCGCTACCGTCGGGCAAAAAACCTAATAATGGCTGCCTCCATGTGTTGACACTTGACACATGAGTGAACCCAAATTGACTTTAGGTCTGTTTTTTTCAGCTAAACTGGCTGCACTAGTTCAGAGTTTATCTTTTTTCCTCTACATTGAAAGAAGAAAGATAAACTCTGAATTAGTGCAGCCAGTTCAGCTAAAAAAACAGACCTTTTATATTGTAATTATTTTAAAAAATGGGTAGTTGCAAAATTTGTGGTCGATCAAAATCGAAATCCAAAAATACATCTTTAACTTTTCACATGTAAGTAAATAAAATTAACAATGCTTCGGAAACGCTGCTTTCAAATGCCTTTTTTATGCTTATGTAGAGCGTTATGTTCTAAACAAACGTTTAAAAATGATAAAACTTTGTAACAAAATATTCCTTCAGCGTTTCCGAAAGATCCGGAAAGACGGAAGAAATGGATACAATTTGTTGATCACCCAGATTGGGAACCAACAAATTACGCCTATGACCATTTCAAAATTTCCCGCCCAGAATTTTGCTTCCGGTACATAGGCCATCGCGGTTAACTAGAGACCCTAAAAAAAGAGACTCGCCAACTCGTCACGTGACTGTTAGTGGACTCTGATTGACTGGTGTATGGATCGCACATTTGTGCCCCGTGTGCACCATAAAGCTACACTGAACTACACTATAACCTATTTTGATAAAGTGTGATGTGGTTACGTACGTAATGATTAGTGATGATTATATACGGATATATATTTTTAAACATCTATTGTTGGCAAGTTAATTATCTTATCTAAGTAAAATTATGAGAAAGAGCAATATATATTGTTATAAAAAAGCTTTCAATTGATAAATTTAGACGCTTTATAGTAAATAAGTAGTATGAAAATTAGAGATCTATTTCATTAATAATATAATTCTTATCATAGATTTGGATCTTATATTTTGCAATGCCATACATCTGCTGCGCATCGAGGTGCTTCAATAAATCCGGTGAAGGATATGCATTAGTGCGATTCCCTAAGAAGACCAATATCAAAAAGCATGGTCAGATGCTGTTTGGGGCGAGAATGCGTCAAAACGTTCTCTGGAAAATCTTAGATTGTGTGAAGTGAGTGTACATCATAAGAATGTTATGCAAAATCAAATAAAAATAGTTTTAAAAGTGTTTCTCCATTTCCAGGTACACTTTGAGCCATCCGATTTTTTGGTAGTGGGTCGCCGGAAAGAAATAAAAAAAGATGCAATACCATCACGCTTCTGTCTTTGTTCTTCTGACAATTTTACAACAAATCGCAAGCAAAGAAGCGAAAGAAATAAGTTTCCTCTTTCTTCTGTTTTCTAGATTGCGATTTGCTATAAGAATGCTCTAAAATCTTTGGCGAAATATTATTTAAAGGAAGACGATTTTCTGAAAGCCTCTTGCTATAAGAATGCTCTATTGAATATTGATGATTTGAATTCTGTGAAGTATCCAGTTTTGCTTTAATATTGCGCACATAAGTTTCCTTTTTCTTTCGCTTTCTTGCTTGTGATTTGTTGTAAGAATTGTCAGAGGGAACGACAGAAGCGTGATATTGCATCTTATTCTATTTCTTTTCGGCGACCCACTACCAAAAAATCAGATGGCTCAAAGTGTACCTGAAAATGGAGAAACACTTTTAAAACTATTTTTATTTGATTTTGCATAACATTCTTATGATGTACACTCACTTCACACAATCTAAGATTTTCCAGGGAACGTTTTGACGCATTCTCGCCCCAAACAGCATCTGACCATGTTTTTTGATATTGGTCTTCTTTAGGGAATCGCACTAATGCATATCCTTCACCGGATTTATTAGCTGCGTTCGGCTGCGTTCGATTGCAAATCGGAGGCATCCGTTTGCTCTTTTACCTAGAAAATCTATACGTATACATGACGAATACTATAGATTTTCAAGGTGAAAGAGCAAACGGATGTCTCTGATTTGCAATGCCGAACGCAGCTAATGAAGCACCTCGATGCGCAGCAAATGTATATGGCATTGCAAAATATAAGATCCAAATCTATGATAAGGATTATATTAT